TAGATGTTATTAAGATAAGATAATATACTACAGTTAAAACTATCTTGACATGTTACATTATATGAAACCTATTTAAAAATATTTTAAGGATAAGTTGATCATGATGCATGTAACATTTAACATCTTGGAAGAAACCGAAAGTATATGTTATCTTTAATAGATAAAAGTATTTTATTCAATCCTCGTTTTACAATCATTGTAATTACATCATTACAAAAATATTTAATCGCTACACAAGATATTAAAATTAAAGTTTCGATACGCTTCTACTTTCCTTGAGCTACAATGCTATTAACGTGTACATTATTCATAATATGTATTAATAATATAATACTTTTACATAATAATTTAAAAATAATGCGATCTGATGTCTTATCAATAAATATAAATATATCATTTTATTAAATAGGATCACTATCATTCTCGTTTGTTAATATTTCTTCTTGTTCAAATTACATCATAAGAACAGAGCAAATGTGTACATCTTATACTTCAATCGTTATATTAAAATATACATTTTGATTTTATATTATATTTATACTTTAATTGAATTTATGTATTAAGATAGCAATGATCAAGATTATGACTGCGATACTGATGCCTGTGATGTATACTCTACTTTGTTGGTTGTCACATGAATCTTTGCCAAAATCTGCTTTTATATCTACGTCACTTTGACTGTAGAACTCGATGGGATCTATACAACAAATTTATAATATTTTTCACAATTGTAATGTACATTTCATTTATAATCCATCTAATTAGATATACTTACCAGCTTGGAGCTCTATATCCTTCTGAACATTACTTTCATGAACTTCCAAATCTAAAAGTTCTTGTAGTGATAAAAGTGCTTCCAGTGGACCTTCGCCAGGAAAGAGATAGTCCGATAACGTCACCTTACTTTCAGGCAATGCTATCAACACTCTTCTTGGTGGTTCATGTAAAGTTATATTTTCTATAAAAACAAGAATTACTCTCTCTCTCTCTCTCTCTTTCGTACATTATATTACAAATTAATTTAAAGTTTTATATTTCAAGATTAAATGTAGCAGATTATTTTCAAATTAGCAAAGTTTAAAAACTACTTGTATAAGTAACTGCCTTTCGCCGATCTGTTTAAAAGATGGTTTTAGAACCGTGCCTCGCAGAGTGCGAGGTGCTATACTATCGTGTCAATATGTTAATAAAAATGTGTTATTTTTACCATAATCTTTAAAAAAAAAATAATGTACCTTCCGGGAAACCATTTTCTTCGTCAATTAAACTATCCCAATGCATTTCTAATCGACTCGCCAGCGATCTTATTATGTCTTCTTTCACTGCTATATTAGCTTCATTGATATTTGCTTTTTGGTGAACAAAAGTCCTACTCACTAATTGTCCAACCAGACGTATTGATGCATTGCAAGGAGTTATTCTCACATTGAAACTTGTATTGTTCACTTGCTAATAATCCATAAAATAAACTTGTTACGTACTTGTTACATCTATTTAACGAGTGACATTAGAATTTTAATATGTTCGACCAAAAAGTTAATTATTTAACAAAGATGTATGTATAATGATGACATTAAAATTTATAGAGTACATTCCAATGTATTTTCTAATAGATATAAATACTTACACATGGAGTGTACAAACTGATTTGTATAGGTTTGTCATTAGTATTCTTTTCATTATTTTTACATCCTTTTTCTTCTTTTTTGTCTTTAGTAATTACTTCCAGTGTATCATCTAAGGACTTTACTTCACCTTCTATAGCAATCAGGGATGATTCAATAATGTCTGACATACTTTTTAAGATGTCCTATAAAATTTGTGTTTTCTTAGCTTTATTCATATGTGATTTGTACTAATGAATGTTATATTTAGTACCTGTAGTTGTTTTTTAAGAGTTTCAGGGTCCTTGTTTGCATCGATGAGAAATAAACGATCGAAATCTATAACAGACTCTAGTTGATGCCATTTAGTAGCTTTCCCTTGAAACTTCCACTCTGCAGGCTTTACTGTTCCACTTTTATTAATCTCTACAGATTTACAAGTATAACTAAAACATTAAATAATATGTTATTAACATAAGTAAATACTTGAAATATATTATAATTATTATTTGTCATACTTTTGTGATACGCTATTCAAGTTTAGGATAAGTTGTTCCTCATTATTATTTCCACAAAGATATTTGTTTTGAGCTAAGTTTTTATGTATAGCCATTAAAATGGACCTAAGTTTCTGTATATTCATATTATCATTAATGGTATCATCAGGGCCCACGATAAAGGCACCAAGAACTTGCATTCCACCAGGTAACATTCTGGTAACCTTTAACAGATTAAACAGAATTAATCGAATTCTTTTTTATGATTGATCTTGCTACTAGTAACAATTTATCAAGAATGAAAGAAAAACGATAAATTAAATTACAGTACGTGTTTAGCATGATCAGCGACCCAGCTTTCATTTATATCCTTCACAGATTTGATGCAACTTTCAACATCTTTTTGTTGAGCATTTGGTTTAGAAGTGATTAACGTTTCTTCGACAACATTTTTACCAACAGGAAGTGGAGTTTTTGCTAGATGTACAATATAATCCTTCTGTCCAGCAGTCTGGAATTTCAATTTATTAAACAGCTGTCAAACTTACATTATGTATATGTTTATGTATCCTAACCCTTTAGTTTTGAATGTTCATTAATGAAAAAATAATTTTACGTTGAATTGCACAGTAATTGTACTGAAAATATTAAATACCGTTTTCATTTAAGTGCACATTTTTAGATCAACAGTCACGTATGTTAAACAATATAAACAGGAAGATGACGTGAAATTGGAACATACAAAAATCGAACCTGTCCCAAAATTAATCCTATCGTGTATTCATTTGGTTTTGCTAATGACATTAAGTAATTGTGAAGACGTTCTTCCGCATATACGGTTCGCCCCATTATTTTTTACACTTCCGTAAACGTGTCGCGTTGTCGTCTCAACTCCACTGCAACTGATATCAATGTATTGAAGCTGAAAGCTGTAACACGTTGTCCGAGTTGCAAGCATTTGCAAGTTGCAACAGTTGATCACTCGTTAAGGGTTGGCAAAAATAGGGGAAACATGACCGGCCGCGTGGGAACGCTAGTGACAACGAATACAACGATGATGTACAGGAGAGAAAGAACAGTATGGTATGTGGATTTGTGTGGATAAGGACAAGGTGATGTCACATTGTGATATCATCATATACAAATAAGCAATTGTAGATCTATACAGCGATGTCTGATGTCACATTGTCCCTAAAATAGGGAATTTTCCTAGTAATGCTATTCGAGTAAAAAAATGTTGTCGTCCATGTGACAGTATGGCATGAGACCAACATCTGTATTCACTGTATTTACGTGTACACATTTTAATAAAAATGCGAAAATTTGATGATAACAGCACGTACAATCGTCGATACACTTTTTCCTTTTTTCCCCCCTTTTGGTAGTTCTGAATACATTACGTCAATGGTGGTCTGATTTTGTTCAGCTGTTCTACTGTTAGATGAGCAATCACTTTAATTCTACTCAGAACACAGTACGTTATTGAAAATATTTCTTATTTTTTTTACGTTTTAGTATATTATTAAGTTCGCGAAGATATTCTAAAGCAAAAGAGTAATTAATAAAAATGATAAATTTTATTTTATTTGTTGCTATAACACTCTAAATCTTAAGAATGATTTTATACCGTCCTTGCCGTTATCGGCACACCGGTATCTAACCTCTTAACATGTTTAATTTAACAATGTTAACAGTTATCAAAGTAACTTATAAATCGAAATTATAAATTGTAACGCATGAAAATTGTTTTTAGATGTCTAATATAACCGAGGTTTCAAGCAGAAAGGTGTTTGGAGGATATCAAAAAGTCTATTCTCATGAAAGGTATTGCAATTGCCTTACAATTATTAAAAGATAAAATGGTTAAAATATTTTTTTTTTTCTCTTTGAACAGTTCTGAACTAGGATGTAAAATGAATTTTGGAATTTTTTTACCTCCTCAAATTGAGGAGGGGCCTATACCAGTTATCTACTGGTTGTCTGGTTTGGAATGTACAGAAGCTAATTTTACTCAGAAAGCTGGTGCTCAAAAATATGCTTCTGAACATGGAGTAATCATAGTAGCTCCCGATACAAGTCCTCGTAATCTCAATATACCAGGAGAGGACGATGATTGGGATTTTGGAACTGGTGCTGGTTTCTATGTTGATGCAACAAATGAACCTTGGAATAAAAATTATAGAATGTATAGCTACATCACTAAGGAACTACCAGCTTTAATTAATGAAGAATTTTCAGTTCTACCGAACAAGCAATCTATAATGGGCCATAGGTAAAACATAGAAACACTATGCATATACATAGATGTTTTTAATTTAAATAAAATAGAAAACCAATTACTTTGTTGTTAGTATGGGAGGGCATGGAGCTCTAATATGTGCTTTAAAAAATCCTGGCTTGTATAAATCGGTTTCTGCTTTTGCACCTATATGTAATCCAATTTCATGCCCATGGGGTAAAAAAGCTTTCTCTGGATATTTCGGTGGAACCGAGACCAATCCTGTATGGAAAAATTGGGATGCTACAGAACTAGCTAAAAAATATAATGGTCCACCTTTGGAAATTCTAATCGATCAGGTATTGCAGAGCAATAATGACAGTAGATTATAATAAGTATGATACATATGTTATAATTCCAGGGAAAGGAAGATCCATTTTTAAAAAATGGACAATTATTACCAAATAATTTGCTAGCAGATGTAAAAGATGTTGGCCTATCATTGGTTCTTAGGTTTCAAGAAGGCTACGATCATAGCTACTTTTTTATATCAACTTTTATCGAAGATCATATTAAGCATCATTTGAAATATCTTAAAGCTTAGGTCTATTAACTTTACATTTCAAATTTATTATCATGAAATGTACAGTTTTTCATTTCGTCTATCATAATTATTAAAAGAGTATCAATATATAAACATTGCTATTCCAATTTTATTTTCTTCTTTTTTACACTCCTGAATAATCAGCATATATTTTTATGAAAAGATATCAACGTGATCTCGGTGGTCCTCGGATATCATGCCAAATCGTCAATATCGATTCACGTTTTTGCCATATATATGCACTACCCCATATTTTCCAAAATCTATAATGCATAGAAAAAAAATGTTTAAACTTAAAGAAGTAGAATTTTTTTTATCTTTTTCACACTTACATGCCAAATAAGACTCCAGACAGATGAGCTGCATGATCAAAGAATTGCCAACGACAGAGGATGCCCATTGTATCGAGTCCCATTATAAATTTGATTGCCTATTTAAAGGTATTTACGCTTATAAAGATAATAATCATCGGTACATTGGACTGTATAATGATCGAACATAATGATTAGCATACCGTATTGGCTGTAAATGTATACATTGGAAGAAAAATAATAGAAAGATATATATCTGGAAACTGGGTACAGGCATATCCAAAAACACCCATTATTGCTCCTGACTGGATCATAAATAATTATTATCACAGGAAATATTAGATGGTAACTGCACTATGTGTACTCACAGCTCCCAAGGAAGGATTGGACAAGCCAAGTGCAGTTTTGTACAAATTACTTATAAAGCTAGACATCACTGCACTAGTCAAATAAAATGCCACAAACTGTTCTTTACCCAAAGCTGATACAGCCAAGGAACAAAAGCTGTGTAATACATACATATTAGCAGCTAAATGTAAAAATGAATGATGGGAAAATGAAGACAGCAGCATTGGCCAACATGTTGCACCTTAATCAAAATAATATGATTTTATATTTTTCTTTAACCGTATTGCATTATTTTTGCAACATTTATATGTTACTTACCAGATGCTGAACCGGAACAAAAATATTTTATCATTGTTTTCTGGAATTTAGGGACCCTCCATGCTAGAAATACCAAAACATTTAAAAAACATATTGGGGCAAAAATTTTCTCTCCTTCAGTTAAGTTATTCCACCAAATTTCCATGTCCCGTCTCCATCCTATTTTCTGAACATAAAAAATGTTTTAATATTGCATAATAGGTGCGATTTTTTATAGATATGTACATTCTATTATACAAACTTGTACGCCCAGTTGTCTATAACGATTGATTATTCTATAGGTTCGTTCTCTGTTATTTTCATAGTTCCAAATGGCAGCAGCAATAAGAGTTGTTCCACTAAACTGATATAATAAAAACGGTGAAATTTATGACATAAGAAAAATAAGATGTGCTTGAATTATTTTAGTATCACTAAAACTATTATCCCTTTATTTTATTTCAAAAATAATACCTTCATTCATATTGCTTACCATAACTGTGAAAGTAAAAGGCTTCCACATTTTGGATAGAGAGACATTACCCTTATCAACATATTCGTTTAGTAATGATAATCTTTTCTTCTCACTGCCTTGAAATCTTTTGAAATGCCTAATTTGATTATATACATTTGTTGTATACAATTTAGGTTTAAATGACACTGTCGCAAAAACGCTGAAAGCATACAATGGAATTATAATTGTTTAATTTAACATTGTTTTATGTAATCCCATATTAGAATATCAAAATGTGTCTTACCATTTACATACATTATCACCTAAACATAAAACCGATCTGACAGCCATATCACTAATAATTTAAAAACCACGAGAAAAGACGATCAATCCACGTTGATTTCATAAAATTTATCTACATTACAAGAAACT